CCAGAGGAGCCTATATTTGCTTAGTAGTGTACAGTTGTCAAATGTCTCTGTATGTGCAGGATGATGTGCTGGGGTGCAAGGCCTGGCCATCATGGCTCCTAAACCCATGGTCACAGAGTGAAGGCCTGAAGACTTCTCATGAAACCATCTGGATTGTATTAGCTGGAGCACAGCAACCAGGTCAAAGGTGTGGAAGAGATTATTCTCCTTCATCAAGCAATTTTGACTTTTGCTCTGCCAAGGAAGGAGTACAACAAGATGGTGGTGGAGTGCAAGGCATACAAGGTAAGGTTGAAGGAGTTATCTGCAGGAAAAAGGACAGGTAGGGATATTACTGCTGTCTACAGCAACCTAATGGGCATATGAGAAGAGAGAAACAAGTTCTCCTTGGAAGCAGAGAGGCACAAGTTTTATAAAACATAAAAAGAAAGATACTGAAAACTAAGTTTTACCAGTAATACTACAATTCTGTTTATAAAAGTAAAAAGATGTTAATGTAAACAAGGTGCATTTAAAACCAAATTCCTCTTTCATTAGCAGACTTTGTGGGAGACCAGTATTACTCTTTGTGCTGTCTGAACAGTACATAATTCTTTACACCACTTAACAACCTTTCTCAGACCCTGAAAACAAAGTCAGCCCCTTAGAAGCACTCACAATGAGATATGAGTCTTAAAAAAGTTTATCTTCACACAAGGGTAAAAGCACGCCTTTGGAGACATATGGGTGTTGTCACCTTACAACAATTTCCCATTTATTAAAATCAATCACAGAGAGGTGAAGCCAATACATTTCTGGCCCAGCAGAGTCTGAGCCCATTAAATTCTTCTGGCAGTGAGAGCAATATGCTGTACTCTCAGAGTTCTCCCCAGGGGTCCTGCAGTTCATCCAGGAAAAAAAACCACCTTAATTCTTGGTTCTGCTGCAGACTTTTCCTCCTTATTAAACACACCTCTAAGGCAACATTCATGGAGAGTTTAGGCACCAGAGTGGCAGTCAGTGCTTGCACTCTGGTGTGCTAGGCACTGACATTTTCCCCAGGGAGAGAGTGTCTCATCTGGCATGGCCACTACCTGGCAGGGCTATGCAGATCAGCACCTCAACAACTCAGGCTCTGTAAAGTCAAAGTTTCTTCACTGTTCAATCTACCCAATCTGTTCAAAAGACACCAAGCACACATGTGCTGGTGTGGGATGTGACAGCCTAACAAAGTTTCAGTTCTCCTCTGTTGCACTAAGGGATCCATGGGCTGGACTGACTTTGAGTGCTGGTGCATGTCTGTCCAAAACATACCTTTCACATCAACTCACAACAGCTCAGGATCAGGTGTTGCAAAGTCCTTGCTGAATTTAATCCACTATGTGCTCCACAGCCCTCAGACTGCAAAACTGGGAGTGTAGTACATCTCTGTTTCATTTGGATATCATAGGGATAAGTACATTCAAGGCTGAGCAGCAGAGGAGCATGCAAAGTCCTCAGGAAAACTGTCTGCCATTTATCAGCTATTTAATGATGTAAAAAAGCTACATGAAATAAAAGGCAATGCAGAAAAGATTAAAAACATACTCTATGTGACACATTCATGTTCCTATAATTTTTTCTTATGAAACTTCATAGCTAGAAAAACTTTGTCTCTATCAGTTCCAAATATTTCTTTTGATAGTATACCACACCCCATGGTAGTGACTTTCTATAATGCTTTATGGTTTGTAAAAAAAAATTAAATCACCAGATGACTTATAACTGTGATTCATGTTATTGTTATTGCTCATTATTATCATTTGTCATATGAGACAATGCCTGGCTATGCACTTTTCCTCTTTTGTAAGAGAAATCTGGCTCAGCTCTGAAGGCTCCAAATTCTGTTTATTATACTAGCTGAAACATGTTTATTACACTGTCATGTTTTTATATCCCTCCTGCTACCTCATGCAAAACATACTTTTGCACTGACCAAATTGTGAAAATTCTGCAAGGCTTTGCTCTCTCTGATCAAGCCACTGATCCACCGAGTTTAGCAGCCTCGTGTGGTGGCAGCCTGCATCTGACCCAGCAGTGTCCTCTCCCTCCAGTACCACACCTAATCCTGAGAGGACTTTCATGGGGACGTGCCTTCATGACCTCCAGTGTTAAGATTTCCTGAGTTTTAAGCGCTATTCATTCCTCAAAAAAAGTGAATTAGAAAAAGTACTACTTGCCTGTATGTTGTTATGGTGTAATAGTTTTCAATTGAGAGGTAAAGCCTCAGGAGACATATATGTAATAGCTAAAAATAACAGTGATAAAGTAACAGTAATGACAACCCTATTTTCATGTTGCAGCTGCAGTGAGTTTCTGCATAACTTCAACCAAGAGGCTTTTAAGACATTTTGGCCAAAGCCTTTTGAACCCTGAGCTACACTGACTGCACAACTTGAAGGCAGGAAGGCTGTCGAGTGACATTCTGAACACAAATAACAGTCAAAGAAAGTCGTCTTATGAGAACTCCATCACTGCTGCTCCCTCCTTGATTTTGTACCACTTCTGAAAGACCAACTAGCTCTACCTCTGGACATTTAGAACTGTGATTGTTTCCTCCTGATTTCTGCTATTGGATCTAATAAGTTACATTACCTCCCCCTCAAAAACTTACGTCATCAGGTTTGCTGTGACTCAATAGCCAGAGGGATATTGCTAGGAACACGAGAAGGGTTCATGGCTGCAGGAAAACCTCCCTCCCTTTTCTTGGCTTTGCAATGATGTCAATATTTATTGTCACTGTCACAGACACAGAAAGATTACACAGACACAGCCAGGATATTGCACTTGCAGTTTGTATAGGGTTACATGCAGCACTTTCCATCTGGCTTTGAATTTAAGAGATTTCGCATCAGAACTGGTGTCAATAAGATGAATTTTTCATTCTGCCTGAACACTGTTGGGAGAAGAAGGGAACTAGTGGCTGACGTATCTGGGTTCCTGTTTCTTGCTCCACAGATCCCAGCTGGGTTTGAGCCTCATAGGAGTAATGCTAATTCTGTAGTCCCACAACTCCCTTAAGTCAACAAAAGCAAATGCTGATGCTAAAAGAGGCAGTGCCAACTTCACACTGACCCAATCAGTGTTTTCACTCTCTTTGCTTCCCCAGTGATTGCAAATAGTCATATATACATATGGGAGGGGAAAAAAAAGAGGTTAGTTTTAACCCAGAGTGCTGTCCTTTTCCCACTCACTGTGTGGCTGCATGAACATCTGGCAGATGGCAGAGAGAGATGCAAATGGCAATAAGCTGGCAGAGTACTGGAAGGTAAGCCAGGACTGCTTATTACAGTTTAAATGGATTTGCTAATTCTGGAACTTGCAAGAAAATTACAGCACTTGTACAATGTCCCCTCATGGCTAAGCAGGAGTGAAGGGAGGGTGTGCAAAAGCACAAAGCAGACATCCCTGATCCATTATCTCTGGATTAGATGAAACAAATTTTCTGTCTCAGAAAAGGCCATCAGACCTGTTTAAACTATGCTAAACGTACCTAAAGAATGCCTTACTTACAAAGTGCTTCACACTGTCTATGATGATGTCCAAAATCAAGTACTGGTAGCTTCTAATAAAACATAGTCTAGTCAAGATGCTCTTTTAAATCAAAACCATTGTCTCATCCTTTTTTTTTAAATGAAAATAACTTGCCTCATAAAAAGTTTTTATGTTTCATAAAATTATATTGAGAATAATGTTTCTTAATAATGACTCTCATAAAGGCATTACTTAAAACAATTAAATCAATTAGTTCAATAAAATTCTTCAACTGAACTGCAATATTTTGACATTGTGACTGATTGAGTTTACTGCCTTTGCAATTAATGAAAGATTGGTTCCTTTTGCAATTACACTCTGATTAGTCCACAGCAAGAACATTTCCCATTACTCATCCCCCACTGCTACCAAAGGGCCTTTACTCTGGGCTTTTAGTTCTGTTTTAATCCTAAATGAACAGAATTTATCAAAGTCCTTGCTCACTAGAACTCTTGGAGAAAATTTGATTTTGTATTTTACCTGTGCTAAAACTTCACCAAAATAAGAAAATCCAAGAAGTAACTAGACACCAAGGCACAGGTACCTAATATTTTAGGTTTAGTTAAAAATATAGTAGTTTTGGCTGTTCAATAACAAGTAAGAGTTAATGCTTCAAACCTGTGATAAAAAAATAACTCTTTATTACAAAACAGCATAAAGAATCTTTTCATAGCCCAAGTAATCAAGCTTCTGTCAAAGTGAGATAATTGTCAATCACACTTTCAATTCAAACACAGCTGCTAAAAATCAGAGAAGAGAAGCCAGACACTTCACTCCACTTAGAGCACTAACTCAGAAGTGAGAACAGAGGCTTGGCAGCAGCTGAGACCTTGCAAATCTGCACAGTTCTAGAAGCACTCACAAAACAAATCTCTAAATTGGGGAGTTTTGTCTTTCTGAAGTTGAAAACAAATGTATTTACCATGCTGGTTAAAATGGTACTTAATGAGAAAAATCTGTTAGTATATTAACTTTTTTTTTTTTTTTTTTTTTTTTTTTTTTAAATCCCCAAAGTACTAAAGGTGGCTCTTGACTTCCAGTACACAATTAATATTTCTTTTAGTCCAATCCTATCAGTAAAGCATTTTCCTGGCTCAACAGATTGAATGAACATGGCAGGGAAGATGGTGAGCCCAGCACAATGAGCACACACCATTCCTGCAAAGCCTCTTCATTCTTTACTCTGTTGTTGCCTGTTGAAAATAATCAGAACTTAAATATACAGGCATTGCTAAAACAGAGCTATATTATATATTGATTTTGTCACCATTGGTTTCCATTTATTTTTTTCCCTCAAATGTTAAAACTTGTTTAACATGGTATAAGTTTTGTTGCTTACTCTGCTTGACTCTCTTTAGCAGAGTTTGAAGTAAAAGCTGGAAAAAACAATTCTCACAGGAAATTAATGTTCTGCTTATATGTGCTGCATATTCATACACCACTATTGTGCATTATACTATTTTGCAAGTGTGCACAAATATCAACTAGTAATTTCATAAATCTGAAAACCACAATTCCCCGATGATGACCATGACCCTAGAAAAAGCCTAGAGAAAACAACCTCTTTACGAGACATACCTTGCAATAGATGTTTGTTTAACTGGAAATCCACAAGAGCAGCTGCCCAGAGCAATGGTACATATTTGCTTCTGAATCCTTTCTCAAAGACACTATTTAAACATGCTGATGAACTGAGCTGGATTTTTCCCCACCTCCATTCCAGCAAAATAAGGAGACTCAGAAGATAAAATTTGTTTTGTTATTGTAAGTAGTGCTATGTGGTAAGTGAGAAATTTACTTTCTATAGTCCTATGTAATTATGAAGGTGGTAAATGTCCATTTCCTGTACAGATGCAATGTCTGTGTGTACTGCTCAATGATTTTTCTATTTGAAAATGAATATACTTCTATTTCTAGAAGTGTTTGTGTATAGAGCTCCTTCTTGTCCATATTTGGCTTGATGTTAAAGATCTGCTGCTCTAGCTTCACCATATTGGCAAGAGGAAACAAGTATTTCTTGTATTGAGACTGTAACTGCAAGCTATAGAATGTGTTTCAGTATGGTTCTGATTTATGTTAAGCTCTAAACAACTGAGATTTTTTTAACATAGGTTTTATGATGTGTGCAGCTGGACTAGCTATCACCAAGTTTCATGCAGCATCCTGAATAGGAACAGTGATAACAGAGATTTTTTCAAATGTCCCAGTTCTGTGCTAAGTTTGATGCTTTCACTTAGAGGGGAAAATTTGTGCCTCTTAAGACAGTCACATATTACACTTTCTTGGACCCTGTTTTAGCCTTTTCTCTGCCATTTTCTGGATAAGAATCCCTTCACCCAATGAACAATTTTAATTGGCAGAAGAAATTTCTAAAGTGCTCCTTCTCTCCTAGAACTGTTTCTGCAACCATTCTATCTCCAAAACCAAAGTAATTTGGAATGACCATAGCTGAGGTGGTGTCACTCATCTTCTCCTCCACCACTGGCCAGTGGTGTGAATTGTCAGAAAGGACTTGACTCAATGTTCCTCCTACTCCTGTGGGCAGTATTTTTGCATGTGACAAACTTCACTCTTGAATGGAGAAAGATCTTACCTGAGGGTATACTGAGTGACACAAAAAAAAACTTTCTCAGAGTAGGAATGATATTTTCCATAGTAAAATAGAAACAATATGGTACAAGATGAGTCATGCTTTTAAGGTGTGTGAAGTCCTGGGACACCTGATTCAAACAAAACTAAAAATGTCCATCAGCCATTTAGTCTTCTACTTGCTCTGTGTTTTCACTTGCTTTGGAGTTTGTGGGCAATAAATCATAAAGTCGAAACATGGGCTGAATCTCGAGATATTTATTCAGACTAAAGTCTTATTACTGGCAAAGGTCTGCCTGAGTAGCCTTGTCATCCCCTAATTTTTTACTGTAAAAAGGAAATATACTAAAAAATCATATTTCTGCAGCATCCAGCAATTTTGCTTCTCTCAGTTTCAATAAGCAAAACATTACCCACTAATCTGCTTTAAAAGAGGAAGGGTAAAACCATGCTTTCTAACAAGACTTGTGATGAGCTTGAGGAACACAGGTTTATTCCTTAGATATTAACCTGGTTTCATAGTAGAATTTTCAGGTTCTGGCTAACTTATCCCATCTTTTCTCATCTCCTGCAATGATTTCAACAATAGTTTCTGAAAAAAATTACTTTTAAATTTTCAGATGCAATTTCTTGATAAATTAAAGAAAAAAAAACATAAAACCCCTGTATTTGGAATCACAGGTACTTTGTAAATGAAGATAATTTTTAGATTTCTAGGAAAACAAGATGTTATACCTTTTTTGCAATGTTTTGAAATTTTCTATTTACTTTGAAGAAAACTCTGCCTTTAAGCAAAATGGTGGTTTAATTGTGAATAGAGAAACTGTCCATGGTGGCTATGAAATTCAAACTCAGTCAGGACCAGATGACAATCTTGACTATTATTACTATTATTTTCAGGATCCATCAGAGGTAGTAATGTGAGAGATGTTTTAAGACCTAATTTTCAGTTTGGATGACAAGGAAATTGTGACAATAACTTTCTATACATTTCACAATGATTTTATGAAAATCAGTTAGTATTTGTAGAATTTTTTGATTGGATAAAATGCTTAATGAACATTAATCTTTTAATTGGATAGCTGAACTTAATGCAATATTCTTAAACATTCTTTATATGTTACTTAATTACATAACTTATATTTTTATTTCTTCCTTCAAACTCTGAACTTTTTAGCAAGATGTAATATAGCATCTGCTGTTTTACACAAGGTTGTGATTTCCTTGATAGAAAAGTGAAATTAAAAATATTGACAAGATGATGAATTTTTCCCTTCTCTCTACTTTACACATGAGGACAATAATGATAAAAATCATCATGTGGTTTTTTGTATTCTGGTTCTAATAGTTCACAGTAGCAGATGAATATCATGTCAAATTATGCACCAAGGGTGCCTGTTCCACAGTGTCCAAGGCCTGGAATCTGTGTTTCTAACTTTACCTGAAATTTTCTGTCATAAGAATAAAGAAGGTAACATCAAATAATTTTAGCCACCAATGACTGTCACTAAGAAGTTCTGGACTACTAAGGAAAAGCAATGAATATGTATTGATAACCTTAAAACAATTTATTGTGACTCAGAAAAGTGATACATACAACAAATGCTATCGTGCTGGTACAAATTTTTAACCACGGACCAAGATTTTTAAAAATCTCTTCCATGTGTTCTATTCTATACTTTTATCATCTCAAGGCTGTACGTTCAATGTACTCTAAAGGTAATGGCCATAAGGGAGCCAGAGGTGTCAGCTGTTCCAACATGTACACACTGACCACCTAAGGGATGGTAGGAGGTGGCTCTAGCACATTGCTCTGGTGAACCATGCTGTTTGCCCTTGGGTTTCCTGCAGAGAGCTGAGATGCTGTTTTCTAGAACTGTTTATATGAAAAACTCATTTGTGTCCTATCACGAGATGGACAGAGGTACCAGGCTTTACCCTGCTGATGTTACATGAGTATTCACCTCTGGGGTGTGAAAATTTTGCAATAAAGAATCTTAAATGTAGAACTTACTTCATTCATTCAAATCCTGCTTTCCTTCAGTTCTTTTATGCACAAGAGAAGGAAAGGGAAAGAAACAATATGTTGACTTATTGTCTTAGAAGGATTTCTTTGTACATTAAATACAACTGAAGATAATTGGTATGGAAAATATGAATACAGCATCCCAATAAAGGAAAAAAATATTACTAGTCCTAGTGATAATTCTTTTGAAATATGGGTAGGCTGGTACCTTACTCCTGTTCTACTCATAGGCACATACCACAAGAAAAGTAAAATTCACTATGTTCTGCTACTTGTTTGTTTATGTTATTGAATAGTATTTTCTAAAATTTTTAGTGTTGCTGCTTTTGACCCTAATACTGCAATATCAGATATTGCCTTTGGAATGAAGGCCTTACAGCACAAGATTGAAAGGACATTTCTCATCTTCTAGTGCTGTAGTATTTAGTTTTGTAGAGCTTGAGGTCCATCCTATGCAGGAAATGAGCAACAAGTTGTGCAGTAACATCCAAATACCATAGCATGTAAAACTTGGAGCCACTCCCCAAAACACCATCAACATTACTTCAACGATATCTATGACTCCATTTAATATGAAGGGCTCTAATTCAAACTGTCAAAAGACCAAGCTTCTATGGTTTATGCCAGGGCAACATCTAAAACCTATCACACCTCTTTCTGATTATTGGAGTGAATTCTCCAAAAATAACCTTCCCTTCTGGTTACCAGCTAACGATGTACATTTATGATCTGAGTTTCTCTATCCAATCATGTTTTTCCTGACTTTTGAGGAAGATGTGTTTGTTCAGCCACACTGTTTATCCACTCACAAATGATCATCCACTCTTCTGGCTGAAATGAAGCACACAAGAAAGCGTTTCACCTAAAAGTACAGCTTTTACAAGGCCAACATGAAAGCATACATGCACATCCCAGGATAATAATCAGACCTTATGGACAAGTTGGATAAACTTATTTTGTTCTTTTATGGTAAATTTTGACTTTTCCACCCCGGTCCTTAAAACCTACAGTTTGAGTGAACATTGAAATCTAGTTAAATATGTATTTAAAAACATTTTTGTGGCAGTTTTGCTTAAAAAATATTATCTGTTTTAAGAGATTTTGTCAAATTTAAACATTTCCCACAAAAGTTTGTTAAAAATGCCAATGAAAGGAAAGCATTTAATCAGGGAAACCTAAACGTGTATACAAGAATTGTCCTAATATACACAGGGCAGCTCATGGAGAAAAATATTCTCAGAAACATGCTCAGTCTTTTTCAAAGCAAATGATTAGGACAGTAAATAGGTGCCAAGAAGATAAAAGTATTCAATTACTTCCAACTAAGCACTCATTTCATAAATGTTAGGCTGGAAAGTCACTCAAATAATTGCTCAAAAAGAATGCACTGGAGTCTTCATGTTATACTTCTGATGCCATTTAGTTAAATTGAATCATTAAGTACAAGAACTAAGGGCCTGGTTCTCCTTTATACAGAAGTGTTTTTATGTGACTCTGGCAGTACAGATGGGCTGTAAAAAAAGTGCAGTAATTAATGCCCGACTGAATGACTACCTGTACCGACTGGAACAGTGAAATGAAAACTAACCCCCAAATTTTCCTAAATATTTTTCTAAATGAGAAATACCAGAATAACTGTAATCAAAATACTAACCACTAAAAAGTAGAAGCAAATGCATTGATTTTTTAATTTGATTTTTGTGACTGAAGACATCAGAAAGGTATTGATGCTGTGCTAAAAATATACTGGAAGAGTAAAAAGGACTTCTGTGGATTTGGTTTAGGAATAACTTTCTTTTTTTTTTTGGCCAAGTCATAACAGGAAAACAAGTGTTTTTCATAGAAATGCTGACATAACTTTACTAATAGGACCTTTAACAGAGGTTGTTACAATGTGTATTTACTCAGGTACAGGATTAAATAAGAGATGTGAACTCACCATAGCAACCCCCGCATCACATTGTAGATATGCTGCTTCTAAGATACGGCAAATGTTTCTGAAGAAATACACAGAATATGAGGTAAACATCTATCAATTCCAAATTGTGTTTCAAAAACACTTTACCATACAGCATAACAAAAATGCAGCATAAATTGATGCTCTGTAAATTAATGCATTACAGTATCATATTATATTATATTAATTATTATTGTTGTTTATTTATTATAAAATACTGGATAGTATTTTCATTGTCTTATGAATTTTGGCTCAAAAATATAAATTTAGATAATTCCCCAATTCACGATAGCAAAAATAGTGACAAACACACTATTGAGGTCCTCACAAATACTGCTGTGAATCCTTTCATTCAATAGGAATCCAGAAAACTCCCCTGTCTGTTTTGAACCACCTCCTGCTGACGTTCTGAGATCTTGCAGTAATACTAATGGTCACCATAAGATATTCAGCAGAATTTTGTGAAAACAGTTAAAGTTGGAAGTAAGTCCTTTTAAACACTTTACTGTTTCTGCTTTAGTATCCCTCTGCATCTTAAATTCTTTCAGCTAATGCATATCCCTTCAATTTATCTTTATTCAGGTTGGCTTTCTTGTTTTGCTTAAAAAACCTGTCGTTGTATATACAAATTTACTGCTTCTTCTTTTTTTTATTTTTTTTTTCATTTTTTTTGTTCAGGTTGGCTTAAAAAACCTGTCATTGTATATACAAATTTACTGCTTCTTCTTTTTTTTTTCTTTTATTTCCTTAATGTTTTCACTTTCATGTTCAAACCACTTAGGGAGTACCTGAGGTGAGATCCTGACAATAGCCAGTAGGGTTGCTATACCTCTGGAAATTAAATACAGCTTTTGCTGCTGTATCTTTTTTATACTTTACCCAACAATTAACTGCAGAACTGACTCCTGCAAGCAGAACTAAGTGATCATATTGCTTTGGGATTTTTCTTGATATTAAGCAACCCTATTGTTTCTCCCCAGATTTCAGTTGTAGAGGGGCAGCACCAATTTTCTCACATTGCCTGAGATGACTGATAAAGAAGACAAGTATTCTGGACTGCCACATAAAGTCGACTCCATTCATTCTTCCATCACTGTTCAAGGTTTTGTCTCTGTGGTACAGAAATGCAGAAACCCTAAATAAATTTTGAATATTTTTGGTAGCAGAAGCAGAAGTTTAATTTAAACCTCAAAGCATTTTATTAATTCTGAAAACCTCATTGTTAATCTGCATACCTACATTTTATCAGAAGGAAATGTTTTTTTATTCTTACAAATGGACAAGTTTGTTCATTGAGGATGTTAAAAAATCTGTTTAAAAATCTACTGATAAAATGCATCTCCCCATATGCAACTTTATATTTATTTCAACACCATTTCCCCTTTGGTTTCCCATGTTTTTTCACAGAGGGCTATTTATACTTGGGGTAAGGGATGATGTACAGTGCCTGAATGGTTTGTCCCTGGTGTTTCTGTGCACTGAGGACAGGTAACCCTGGTTGTGATGGGGTTGAAGGGCTCACCTTACCCATGAGCTGGGGTCCAAGTGCTGCTTGGTGGTGCTCCTGCCCTGGCTCTGTGTTCCCTGGGATGCTGCCTTGATCCTGGTGGGAGCTGAGGCTGAGTGCCCCAGGGCCTGGGAGAGATGTTTGACTTGTAGTCCCACCAGGACTCCTCGCAGACAAGCTATGCAAGGAGCTATATTTCATCTCTGGTTTTTATTCCCTTGTCATGGCTACCCATTGGTGCAAAACATGCAGCTGCTCAGGTGAGAAGGAGGGTTCAGTCAGCATCAAAATGTCTGCCTGAGAAGTTGTGTGACAATTTCCACCTTTGCTATCATTCAAAACTTCCTTTAAGCAGTTCTCAGTGCTCAGTTTTGACTGTGCCTTTGCTCAGCTTAGGGATAATGTTAATTGTGACTACGTGCTGGCAGAGGTTGTCAAAGGGTATTTGAGCTCTTCCTTGGCTTCCTTATATCTCCTGTAGTCCTCCTAGGTTTTCTTTGGCTTTTTTGTAGTTGTATTTTTGTTTGGTTTTTTGCCTGGATGATTGATTCAAGATACACCCACCCCAAGTTTATGAGCTCCTGAAACAAGGAGTTGCTGGCTGTGGTCCTCAGATAACTGAAATTATAATAATAATAATAATATGTCCAAAATATGTTTCTTATAAAATAATAACATTCTAGATTACTTCTCATGTCCCAGGTTTACACACTGCAGTTTAACTGATGGATATAGCCTAGTCACCATGGCATTGAGTTTCTTACATTAGCTTGAGACCTTTATGATTAACTATCACAGGGATATAACCACACTTGCACTTGCTGTTGTAACTCCAGATCACTAAACCCTTCACAAACTGTATCAAAATGAGTCAAATGTCTGCCTACATGGTTCTCCAAATAACCACGATCAATGGGTACCATTTTCTGAAAGTAGTGACAGTCATGGGTGTGATGTGGCCAGTATCATGTTCAGCTGCCTTTGAGACCCTGCATTCAACAGAGTTTCTATTTATAACTATTTCTATTTATTGAGAATGCCTGTTGGCACCAGGACAGGCCAGAGCTTGCTCTTCGGTCTCTGGATCCACTAGGGAGAGCACTGTCTCCCACACCCTGCCTTTTCCCTGTCCAAAACAACAGCCATGTGCGGAGCTGTGGAAATAGTCATGACTTCCTGCTATACATGTTGTACATATTGGGTGAACCCAATTCATTAAAAAAAAAAAAAAACCAACAAAAACCAAACCTCATGACTTCCTGCTATACATGTTGTACACATTGGGTGAACCCAATTAATTAAAAAAAATAAATATATCTCATCCCCTGCCCTCATTATCCTTTCCTCCCAATAATGTATTTCATCTTGACTTTTCCCCCACCTGCCTTACTTCTGATCAAAGCAATCTATTCCACATATTGCAACCTGGTGTTAAAATTATTGTTTCATAGTGCTTAATATTTTATTTTTCTTAAAACTGAACTTCTTAATTTTTTTAATAGGAAAAAAAATCATCAGCCTTGTAAAAATGAAATGTCAGCATTATATGGCTCAGAGAAGTACCGTGAATCTTTTGCTATTGCCATCTCAGATTTTTGGGCTTACTACTTGCTATATCTGTGTTTTTGCATAGTGTTTTCAATTGAAATATTTCAAAAAGAAAGTTTATTTCTCTTTTGCAGCGAACATTTCTGTTTGATGTCATGTAATTCCTCATCATCGGTGCTTGAAATAAGCAAGCATTAAGGATTGATATAATATTATGTGGCTCACTGCTGCTCCTCCCACCCCCCAAGGGAATGGGACACCTTGAGAGCTGAACAGACTTAGAAAATGACTGAAAATGACTAAACCTCTCTCCCAGATTTGTTGAAATGGTCCCTTTTAACACTGAACTCCATAACCGAATCTGCCAATTCACATTTCTTCCCTTATTTATTTTTCATTAAAATTTGTTTGGCTTTTTTTTGTGGTTTTCTCATTTTTTCAGGTTTGGGTTTCTTTTTTTTTGGCACAGGGTTGGTTTGCTTGTTTGTTTGTTTGCAGCTATTTGATTTAAGGGAACAAAGAGATCAAATAATCCTCAGGTATTTTTCTTACTGGAAGAAGTGTATGAAAGTTCTTTTATTATCCTTTTCCTTGCCACTGCAAGAAAATTTCCATAGATTATCATTACAGATATATTTTACAATGAAGAAATGAGTAACACAAGACAAACACATCCATTCTCTTAATTGAATGAGCTACAGCTTTTTGGCTGGAAAAAACAATAATATTATTTATAACTCAAATTACATTCCACAAACTATGCTCTCATCTATAAAGAGACTATAAATGGCATGGTAGGGTTTCATATTGGTTTTCCATTATTTTTTTCTCCAGTGACTTTCCTGTTGACCCCTCTTTTAATTTATAAATAAAACCTTGACTTTCTTGACTGCCAGCACTGAAAATCCACGCTGGGATCTGAGATCAAGCTGTGTCCTTTCTGCTTTATGCCAAAATAGACTCTGGTTCACCTCCTCAGTGCTGAGGTGTCTCTGCAGGGCTGGCAAGAATGTAAAGAAACAACAGTAGTTTTGCCAGTAAAAAGATAAAGTGAACGAATTCTCTCAGAAGTAGGAAGATACCAATTTTCAAGTCAGCTTTATAGAAAACAGCTGTTCTTTGAAACAAATGTTCATAAGAGGATTGGGGTGGGACATCTCATTGCTCACTGTTCCTGCACAACCTTTTCCCCTTTGGTCTTCCCAGTTCAGCCTGTAGATCAGTCGAGCTGAGAGGTTTGTGGCTGTGGCTGCAAAGACTTTTTCCCTGTCAGCACTGCTGGACTCAGTTGTTTCTGCCCTCTTCAAGCCATTTGTGCCCTTATGCTTGTGTTGATGCTGAGAATGCTGCGTGCATTGGGTGGAGGGGTGTCCTCTGGAGGTCCCAAGCTCGTCTCTTTCAAGCTGGGTCCCAATACAGCTCTGCAAACTGTTGGGCTGTCTTGGATATTCAGCTTCTGTATTTGTGGGGTATCAGATGAAACCTAGGAAGTCAGTTTCCTAATTATTTTTTGAAGTCTGGTCAAGGGTGAACACAGCCAGTATTTTGAAGTTAGTTATAAAACCTTCCAAAATTCTTTTGAAAGTCAATCTTCCATATCATGGTTGGTAAATACATGTTCTCAGTGGGAAGAAGCCTGATGGATATAAAATCCCTTGGACAGAGTGCAAAAGCTTTGAGATGTTCAGCTTCCATTGGGAAGTGAGTGTCTCTGCAGAGGTCAGGAATCCACTTCACTCAGACACGGGGATCTAGCCCTCTGCTGCTATCATGGGAGAATGGCTCACTCCTTGCAAGGACAGGAATTTACACAGGGCAGAGAAATGTGGGCAAAGTAGAGAGGGTGCAAGTCCTGACAGCAGCCAAAAAAGGTGCCAACAAGAACTGCTCCAATGGTTTTTTAGAAGCTGCAATTATTCCTTCTGTCAGCCAGGAGTACTGAGGCACATGATAGGTGACAAACACAGGAAAATGGTAACAGGTGAGGTCAGGCAAAGACAGAATTGCATCCAAAGGCACACATGAAGCCCACTTCCCTGTCTGCAGAGAGCCTTAGCTCCATTGGCAGAACACAGGTTCAGCTGCTCAATCCTATAATTCACTGTGTTTTATTTATCATTTATTGAAGAATAGAGAGAAGGTAATGATGCATAACAGACAGCTGCCCCTGGAGCTCTTTCAGGATATGGACCACAAAATCCCAGTTTCCAACTCTGAGAAATAATCAGCTACAGTACTGCTGGTTCTTAGGGACAAGTGAAGTTCATGAGGACCTGATGATATCTGGACTGTCAGCTGCCCAGTGCTGTCTGCCTTTTCCACTGGCTGTCCCCTGCCATGCCATGCCACCAGCTATGCTGAGAGCACTGGGCTCATCATGCAATGCTGCCACAACCCTTCTGGAGAGCCTGACAAGCAGTGAGAAGCAAAACTGAAAAATTATTTTTATAACAGGACGGAGTTAACAGGAGAAGAAACACTGAGCCATGGGGAATGTGCATTGGCATTTACAGTTCCTTCGCAGATACATCCTGGGTGAAATGTGAGTCTCTCCACTGCCTCCTTGAGTTTAATGAAAGAGATATTTAGTGGAAATTTTTTTAACGTGCATGGGCATTTACAGTTCCTTTGCAGATACATCCTGGGTGATGAAACCTGCCTCCTTGAGTTTAATGAAAGAGATATTTAGTGGAAATTTTTTTAAATCTTAAATGTAATTTGGCTCTCTGGATATACACTGACATGTAGACTAAGAGAAAAGGAAGATAATTACAAAAGCTAATTAAAACAGCTTCCACATAAACCAGAGATTTACACAGAATTTCTTCCAGAAGAAATTGCTTTGTGCTTGGTTTGGCTAAATAAAACTTATGTTTTATTTTTGATGTACGTTTTTAGGCTACATCTGCAAATATGTGTTTGAGTTCTAATTTTAATAATGACAGTAATTTGGACACTCACTTTTTTCTGCCTAAGGGGTAAAAATCTAAATGTGGCAGAAAATATATCTTTTAACACTGAGCCTCTGTAAATGTTTCCTACCAGCCACCACTGAAAAGGTGATTCTTTTTTAGGAATAAACCCTAATTCATGAAACCAAAGACACTCACAGTTAAGACATTGACTCTTTTCTCTTAGCTGAATACTATTTGTTTATGTATTACAGCATCTGCTGAACATGTAAGACCTGTTATGTAAGACCTGTTGCAAGAACTTGTGATATCTGATGAATAAAGGACAAAGTCTCAGTTTAGTTTTGAATTTTCAGGGTTGTGTGGATCCTTCTGTAACCCCGTCCCAGGTCTTACTGCTCCAGATGGTTCAACTGCAAATCATGTCTGTCTCTGATTAATGGAGAAGCTCATGTCACTGCATGCCTTGAGCTTGCAACCCTCTATGCATAAAGGAAATCAAAGGACACTTCTTGGGAAAAAGTGCTAAAATTCACATATTAACTGATAAATCTCTTTTTGAATTAGATGAACATCTAGATTGCATTATGAGAAACAACCTTTGCATTTTATAAGTTATCAGTCACTTAAATTAGAAGAATGATCCTCTGAATCAAAATTCTATACTTAGCTCAATTTTTAATATTCTTCCTACATGGACATCCATTTTGATATCACACAAACTAGTTAGTAATCAGAAAGCTTAATCTTGCACATTTCATTCAGATGAATTTTGTTGCTGGGGTTAATGAAGTCCTCATAAGAATAATATGAACATAGTTACTTAATTCTTGCCTAGATAATGTAAAATCATTTGATTAAATCCCTTTTTGCCCCTCAAGACTACTGACAAGAAAAATTAACCAAGACTCACAAATATCCAGCTATGATCCAGTACAAACCACATACATTCCCAAGGAGAAAAATAAAAGGAAGTTTCTTTAAGCAGAAGTATGTTTTTAATATGAGAGTGAAGACAGAGTAATACTGTTGGATTACCATAATTAACTAGGCCAACTTTCAAAAACCCCAAACCCAAATATGCAGACAAATTGCCTTCAGAAATTAATTGGATTCTGCATAAAAATGTGTTGCATTTTACTTGCAAATATACACTTTTCCTGAGGACAAATGCGTTTGCTCATTTAATTAAATAATCCATATGACATACCAGAAAATATGCAGAACAGTGGATTCAAGGGCACAGGGACACCTGGATCATGGCACTTCTTGTCTTCTTAGCTCTAGAACTGGCCATTGAAACACTATGTCCATCACATGGGTGAAATGCACTTTGGGAATACAGGCAAGATGCACTCAATTACTGCTCTTTATTTAATGGATATAAAATTGAGAGGAGATAAATGCTTTTAATCAGTAGGAATACATGTTGCATAAAGAAAACTGCATCAAGCAAATGTTGATGTCTCCACACTGTAGAGCAATTTTAGCAAGGATTGTACCTGTGAGCATGAATGTTTGACAATCCCCACAAACAATCCTACAGTGATGATTAATAGTTAACAATGAGCAGGTGAAGTCCTGTAGTATACAATCAGCTCTAAAATTTAGAAGTATTAAAATCCATAAAATCCTGTATAATGTTGCCTCAGTAGGAGACTGGCATGTGAGGACACAAAATGTTAATCTGTCCCATGGACAAAGCTGGGCTATTCCTGCAGGCAATGGGAGGGGAAGAGCTGTTCCATGTGGCTTCTGCTTGAGCTGTGCAGGCAGCTCAGTAAACGTG